CACAGGATGAAATGAGTTCTGTCTAATCAAACTCTATTCATGTCACTTCACGTGATTCAGCCTCTTTTTACGCTTCGCAATCAATAAATAACTGTTTGTGGGAAACACAACCTCCAGCACCCTGAGTCATCAGGAACTACCATGTACATTATAACAGCACATAACAGCACAAGAGCCCTCTTAGAAAAGCCCTTAAGGGAAGAAAGGGAAAGAGTGGCCCTTACTCCTCAGTACCAGCATAATGTATGGCTTATACTTATTACTTACTATTGGTTTATTTTGAGTGTTTGATCTCATATATTTCTCCTAACTTGAAACTGGATTAACAAACAAACAACATATTACCAGTCAAAAGTTTGGGCACACTTTTTCTTGTATGTTTATTCTTTATTTTACATACAGAATGTAGTAAACAATATAAACTCAAAATAAACTTGTTTCAAATTTTACATTTTAAAAATAGCCACTCTTTGCTTTGATCACTGATTTGCACTCCAGACATTTCTTGACCCTGACGAGACAAGAGTTTGTCTGTCATAGCAAATCAAAGGGGGGATACATTGAGAAATTTGAATCTAAAATATTTAGTTGAGTTTTCTAACTATTTCTGAACTCTTTACTACATAACGTTACATTTCTTGCTTCAGATATTTGATGTTGTTGGTATGTAAATAAAATGTAGAAAGAAAAAAAGACACTGAATGATAAGGTGTGTCCAAACTATTAACTGGTAACAATAATAAAACCTGAGCTTTATTTAAATCTGAACTCACACCTTAAGCTGAATATTTGAGGAGACAGTGCGGTCAGGAGGCCACTCTCCAGTAAATGAGTATGGTAATTTAACATTTTGTCCCATCGTCTAGTATGTATTCAGTATTTTCTGTGGTCAACCTTAGTTTTAGTGCATTCTAAATTGATCGACTGCACACCCAAAATGTCACTTACTTGAGTTTGGAATTGGATTTTTACAAAACACCACTCACTGTTATATTGCAAAAAAGTACAAAAGAGTATTCACGGTCATTCTACATTGATATTCAGTTTTCAGTATCTGTTGATCTGCTACAACACACTAAATTAATAAATGTTAATGTGTGTATGTGCTTTAATCTAATCCTTTTTATGTCTCCTTCTTTATTTATTTACTGAGGTTAAAGGTGCCACCTGCTGGTCTTCATGAACATGTTATTGCTTTGACTGAAATGTTCAGTTGTATGTCATTAATCATATTTATCCCAATCATGGTTATAGAAGGTCAGGGCAGGTCTGTGGAGAGATGACCTCTGTAACAGTGAGAATGTCAGGTTTTATAATAGCAATAAAAACACTTTCAATTAAACCATTGTCTGTAAAGCAATGACATATCCATAAAAACAACAAGGTGGCACAAAGTTACATAGCAGCGTGTTTGAGTGCGCTTTTAGTCTTTGGCTTTTAACACCACATTTAGTTTTGTGGTCCTCTGTGTCCTTTATTTATTTTTATGGTTTTATTGGTATTTTTCTTCTTATTTGATTTGAGTAGTTTTATTGTCTTAATGAGGACTAGTGGAGAAAAAGGTGGATTGTAACGTTTCTGGTAGAGGGTCGGCAATAACATAACTTTGTCTGGAATGTTTCAAACCTTTCTATCTTCAAACCAGGTAAAGTTACAGGTCAGATAAGTGGAGAGGCAAACCTTTAATAAGTATTTTTGAGCTGTAAAACAACTTGTAACTCTAGTCTTAATGAGGACTAGTGGACAAAAAGGTGGATTGTGTAACTTTTCTGGTAAAGGGTCACATCTCCATGGACATATTATTGCTTTGTCTGGAATGTTTCAAACGTTTCTATCTTCAAGCCAGGAAAAGTTACAGGTCAGATCTGTGGACAGGCAATTTGTTTGATTATATTTGCTGGATGGATTTCATGACATACAAAACTGTGTGTGTGCATGTCTGTATGTGTGACAAATAAACTCAAAGCATTTTAAACCAGTAACTATTTTCAAAGTATACTGTGTGGGCAGAAAGACAAAACTTCATAATTGTTCAGTGAAAACTTTAAACTCCTATAATGATGCGGCTGGAGCTCGTGTTGGACTTGGCGCAGGGCATAGCTGGGGCAAAGTGACATTCGTGTAATGGGCAGGTCGATGTGGTGGCGTGTTATTTCAGATCTACAGATGTTACTCTTCACCAGATAAAGGCTTCCATCTGTCACCGTGACCTGAGAAAGCAATGTTAAAACATGAAGATATACTGTATTAAGAGATCATGTTAAGGCTTACTTTACACCGCATATCTTTGCAGTTGTTGTTGTTGTTTTATTTATTTATTTACTTTTTTTTCCCAATTTTTCCAAAAAGGCCTACACAACATTAGCTGGAATAGTGATTTAGCAGTGTTGGTGTTTTTTGTTTGCATAAACTCGAATGGATTAGTATGGAGAAATTGACTCAAACTGAAAACCGTTAAACCTGTCCACTGCAGGCATCACAGAAAACAGACAATGAGTTTTTTGTGGCTGTTTAAAATGACATCTCTTCTTCTCTCTCATGTATATGGCTTTCATCATCATTGTTCAGCTGCTTTCCAGCCTCTGCGGTGTCACAGCTCAGCAGGATTCCATCATTTCATTTTGGCCCGGCTGCTGCTCCGATCTCCGCTGCAGTGTTAATGTAGCTTTTCATGTGATAAATTAAATGGTTGTAATAGATCGTTATTGGCCCCTGTGAAGTCCCAGACATACATTAGGTGCCATTTGGAAAGGGGGGTTTTAGGTCGGTGTTATTAAAGGTGCAGAGCGTAATAGCTTATGGTGGAGGGTACGTCACCTGCTTGTCTCCATGAGGATGTTTGTTTCTTTGCACGGAATGTTCCACTGTTGCATTTAAAGTCTCCTTATAGAGACAATCAGGTGGTATCACCAGGTCACTAGGTCTCCCTGATCTGATCCGTCAGGTTTGTGAAGAGGCAACCTCACTAAAAAGATTTTTTTTTCAAAGACCTGAAATAAATCAACTGTTTAATGCCATACTGTGGAACATAAAAAGTAAAGCAATTACATTTCTATGAAAACAAGCACAGATGCCACCTGAATAGTTATGCAGTTCACCTTTATACAAGTAAAAATAAACCCAGCATATTTTGTAGTTCTTTGAAAAATAAACATAATTTTTTTATGTGATCCTGGCAAAAGACTTGGGCCATGGGCATCAAACAAAACACAAGCACGCAACTAATTTGGTGAATTTGAAAATAAATAAATAAATAAATAAAATCTGTTTTATAACCATTTTTGTGACTAATGGAAAATGGGGGGGGGAATGGTCACATTTGAATATAGTGCTTTTTCAACTTCTTTGAAGCAATCACACATTTTACATCTATGAGTATTAGCATCCAGCTTTGGGATTTAAAATGTCTCAAATGATAATGCTGCTAAAAGCAATTGTCTTTGAATACAGAATACAGAATAAATCCTACAATAATCCTGCCAAAAAATTTTGGACTTAATGCAGAAACCAAATAAGTTCTTGAGGTGCATTCACAGTTCCTAGTTTGGTCTTGGTTTGAGCCCAGTTTAGTCCTGATGTAGATTTGCTTTGGCCCTGTTATATTCTTGGTTTATTCTTACTCTAGTTCAGGTTTAGTTCCTGGTTTTGATCCATTTTAGTTCCAATAAGGACTGTACTACATGTCATAAAATTATTATAGCTGCTAAGAGCTATTGTTCAGTCTCTGTCTGTAACTATTTCTGTTGTTATCCATTTGAAACATTGATATTCTCAGCATGGGGGGGAAAAAAAAGAAACACATGGAGTTGGGCAGTGTGTGTTTGAAAAGAGAGCAAATGTAACTATGGAAGGGATTCTCATAATAGTGACTTGGTTTTGTGTGACTGTGACTGTAGCTTAAAATAGCACACCCCTCGAGAGCGGAGCCCAATTGTGTCTTTAGTGTTTTACTGTGGCTTATTCACACTCAGTATATCCTCGGTCATGTGATCTGTGGAACTCTGAAATTGAAAAAAGAGGTTTTACAATACAATGGTGCTGTGAAGGATTTCATTTTTGGCATAATATATCAGAAATGCTTTGCCATCTCTACAATGTCTCAAGGGAAATCCAAAGTGCCATTAAAGAAAATATTGATAGCTTCAGCTGAGTAGCATATGTTCCTGTCTTTTACAAAATGAAAGATTTGCAAGGATTTTAAAGGTTCGCAGTGTAACTTTTCCTTGGAGAGAAGCAAGTGACACCACCAAATTACAAGTGAGATTTGTGGACAGGAGGGTCTGCAGACAGTAAGAATGTATATTTTTCACTGTATTTCTGAGTAGTAAAACATCACAAATGCAATGCTATGTTTAATTCCATGCTATTCCATAATATGTTTAATTCCATGCTGTGGAATGTTCAAGGCAAACCAATGACATCTCCATGGAAACAAGCAGATGGCAGATTTCCCATCACAAACATTTCATAGCGCACCTCTAAATAAACATTCTCAGACATTTTTCACTAAATCTATGTTTGCTTCATCTGGGATGCATCTTTCAGTGCAGTATTGAAGCACAAAAGAAAACCATTTGAGAGTGACTTTTGTCTAGATGACTTTTCTTTTGTGATGGACCCAGCTATGATGATTGAGGGAGACATAGATTTGTCGTCGGTGAGATGCCCTTCCTTTCATGGTGTATAGACCTCCAACCCAGTCTCATCATACGTGTAATAACACCATTTGCATTATTCATAGTCTGTGTCCTGCATTTTCTGTTGTATTTGTGGAAGTATAGTAACAGATTTCCCTTTGGACCAATCAGCGCTTCCCAAATTCCAACAAACAAAGTGGTTTAATCCATCAGGAGCTTGTACATGTGCTGTGGCTGTTTCTTATTTGCATGTGTTTGGATTTAGCGCTACGATGGATGTAAGGAAGGAAGCATGCCAGAGTGAGTGAGCGGGGGATCAGAGGAGAGTGAGAGAGAGAAGGAGAGAGCAGAGGCAACGGAGAGGGAAGGAGGCAGAGAAGAGAGAGTGTGTGGAGCTTTCTGCTGTCAGAGATAGTACCAGTGCAAGAAGAGACTCCTGAGCAAACGGAAGGTTCCTTCTTACATCTTCTCTTGAGGGATTTGACAACTAGCGTTGGATTGCTTAGACCAGCTGACAGAATTCCCCTGACTCTCTCTCTCTCCTTGTGTGTAAAATAGGACTTTGTAGTTGGGAGAAGAGAAGAGGACAAACCAGCCAAACCGCACTTTATATCCAGAAAATTACCAGATGGCACCAGCACTATGATCTTTGACTTTCTTCAAGCAATCTCTCCCTGAAGGTATGGCTGCTCTCCCATTGGGCACAATTGCTTATATCACATTCTGCTCTACCGCTCACATTGACTGCTCTTGTATGAATGAATGTGGAAGTTGCATGCAAGTGTGTTGAGGTGTTTCCTGTTTGTAACGGTGAGAGGGAGGGATGCTGGGAAAGTACAGTATAGCTCAATCACCACCTCATCAGCACCTTAGCAAACTGGAGTTGTAAGCACTGACGATTTACACTTATTATTTAAGCATGAATGACCTTTTAAAATTACATGTCAGAAAGTACAAATTAGCAGGTGGTCATGACAGCACTGTGTGGTTGGCATTTTTCCTGCAATTTGTAGCATTTTGAATTGGGGAAAAAAAAAAAAAAAAAAAACTTTAAGGACATGTTTTCAATGTGTAGATTTCCCAAAAACTATTTTAGGTACCCAATACTATACATATGGGGCTCAGTAAAACTCCACTTTATACTATCATAGAATCTGACACACTTCTTGCCCTATATATGAAAGTGTTTGTTACTTGGGATTAACATCACATGACTTCTTGGAGAACTGCCAGTCGTACTTTTAAAGCCCTCAACCAAAGGTTTTAACAAAGACCAACTCAGCAGGACTCACATTGTTCAATTTCCTTTGATAAATATGTACATGATGGATGAGATTGTTCAGAGAATGGACATTGGGATCAGAAAATAGCTGAGTACTTGTGTAGAATTTATTGCTGTTATTTTAACTTGTTAAGATAGCACTTTTCATTGACGTTTAGTGATTTATTGATCAGTCCAAGAATTACTTATTTCATCTAAGTATAACCTTAAGAGTGCACTGTGTAACTTTTCTAGTGCAGGGGATGTCACTTGCTTGTCTTTGACTATAATCTACACACTTCAGTATAGCATTAAACACACTGTATCTATTTCTGTGAAGACGAGCAGAAGAGACTAATAGGCCAAGTTGCAGGGCATATGAGTCGACTCCCCCCCACAAAAAGGATATACGTTTTTCAACTTATGTAAGCAATGAAAACACCTGCAGTGGAATACATGCTTGATAGACATGTTTAACACCATATTGTGGAACATTCCAGGCTAAGCAATACCATCTTCATAGAGACAAGCATGGGATGTACCTGCTACAAGAAAAGTAACACAGTGCACCTATATGAAATTCTGTTTTGTCCCTATTCTTCCTTTATTCTTTCCCCTGGACAGTCTGACTCAGGTGATTTTCATACACATAGATGGATACATATACAAAAACACAGAGCTTGTCTAATTCAGTCCCTCCTCTTGTCTCAGCGTGAGCCTGAGCCATGATGAGGTGCAATCATCAAAGTGGGGACCAGCTGAATGAGTGACGAAAAAGCAATTACTGAGTCAACTTATAATTAGTTCACAAGCAATGAACCTCAACACGGTCAGTTGGTGTCAAAATGCCTTCATAAGTTTGAACTGAATCACAGGTATGTAACTTCTCTAGTGGGGGGTCTGTCACCTGCTTATTACTTTGTCTGAAATACTTCACAGCAGGGTATTAAAGGGCTCATATTAAGCTACTTTCTGATCTATGTTATATGTTGCTTTGTCATCAGAAACATACATGGAGTTCTGGTTTGTTTCATTCCCACATGCTTATCACTCAAACCCTGCAATTTAGGCTGAGTGCTTCTCTCAAACAGAAAAAAAAAAACACTCTGTTCCACCTTTTGTAACTTCATACACCTTCACTCGAATCATAATTTCAGCTCTGGAATTGCCAATCTCCACTGAGTTAAATGTAGAAGGTAGCTTTTAACCTTAAAACTATCACTACATGACATCACACGGTGGAACAGAGACGTCAACATAAAGGATTACTCAAACATGTGTTAATGAAAATATGTGGCATGGTTTGGTTTTAAAGAGGTAACAACATTGCAACTTGCAATTGAACATGACTTAAAGTTCACAAGAGTAATTTTTGTGTAATATAGAACCTTTAAACATATATCTCTATGAAAAGTTGTTGATGCCAGGCAAAGTTACAGGTCAAATCTGTGGAGAAGTGGCCCCGCTCACAATAAGGATGCATGTTTATTGATGTATTTTGAGCAATAAAGATATGATAATCCTTTACCGTCTCCCATGGGAGAAATTTGTCTTGAGACAGGGGGTCACATGCTTTAACACAAAGAAAAGACAACACAGAAACATAAGTTCAAACAAACAACATCCACTATTGAACATAAATAAATAAGAGACCAAGTATAGCCATGAGTAATACACCAACAGAGACCTTTAAGTCATTCTGTGCAGGCAAGCAGACGTCTTCTGTTCTATTAGTAATTGCATATTCTCTAAACCTGTGTGCAGTTTTGATTGCATTGTCACTTGACTATAATTTATTTTTATTTTTTTATCTTTGAGTTTAGCAGATTAATGGCTAATTGCACAAACTGATAACATTTGTATTTGAATAAATGTAAGATAGATGTGTGAACATATCAGGCAAAGTGACATCTCCATGGTGACAGACCCCTATGAAAATATTACATAGAGCACCTTTAACAAAAACACAGCAACAAAGATAATAGTGTTATTTAGAGAATTATAACTGTTGTATGGTAGTGATAGTTATGTTGCTTGTTGTTTTATATGAACCTGCATGTCAAGATAATGAGCTAGCATCTGGACAAAAAGAACACAATTATCCTAACATTCTTTTAGAGAAATCAATAATTAGTATTGACAATGTTACCTAATCTGACTATGCAACATTGTTATGTTGTGAATGAAAAAACTGTAGCTACTAACTATAATCACCTTTATTATGGAAAGCAGAATAAGAAAGAATAAGCTAAGGTTTTTATGATTGATTCAACACTTGTAATCAATATTTCACTCACCATAATGACTTAAAAGAGAATGCCACTTTGCTTAATAGGATAAAAAAAAAAACATGCACCTTTTGTAATAAGAGACATGGAGCAGTAACAGCACAGGAACAGAGCACCATCTGCACTAAAAGAAATGATCCTAAATAAAACACTGTGATCAGGTATTTTTGTTGACTCCATTCTTTTTTTTTTTTTCTAATCTTTAGCGTTGTTGTTGAACGTTTCCTAATTGGGCTTTACCCCAATGGTGTTTCAATATTGGTTATTTTTGCCATTGGTGATGTAATAATAGATGGCTGTGAGTCATGGAGCTCCAGAGAACACACAAATGCATGTGAAAGAAATACTATACTTTGAGCTGATTAAATATTTAACAGACCTGGCAGCCAGATGCCAGACCCTATCCAGTCACATCAAATACATAAAATACAGGCTATACACCGTAAAAGGAAGAGGGAGAGTACATGAGTCACTGACTGCAGACACAAGCTGTGGAATTTGCCTCAGATGTTATTATAAGAATACAGTAAATTATTAACTTTCAGGCATAAAAGTAATTTTTGTTTAAAGGGGCACTAATATTTTTTTTAGATGGAGGGTCAAATCTTTCTGTCCTGGAATGTGAAAATAAAAGAGTAGGTGACACCTTCAAACCAAGTATTTTTATATAATAATTGAAACATAAATCTACATAGATATCATACCGTGGAATATTCCAGGCAAAGCCATTACATTTTTGTAAGTCCAATGAGGGCCAGATCGTCGCTAGTACTTTTTACTTCAAATTCAAGTATCTCTATCACTGCAAACTCAATAACTTCTTATTTCATTGTAATGTAGACTTATAACAATTTTTTAGAGGTGTTGTGGCTGTCAAACTTTTGTACAATGCATCTATCTGAAAGTCCACTCCAATACAAATGTGTCTCTCTATGTGGTCCTCAGTGAAAAGTATTTGAACACCTCTGCTATATATTGTTTTGAAATGACAAATTATTTCCCATACAGTACTGGATAAAGTACACATATTTTCTATAACTGGTTTAAGCATTGTTTCACTCTATACAATAATGAGATGACAATACCACAAAATAAAAAATAAATTTTCCTGGCCCAGCTGATGGAACTGACAGACAGAATTTACAGTTTTTTGGACTGCAAAACAACTATAAAAAACGTCCTTCCCATGGATGCATACAATTTACAACATTAAAGGGACTGTTCCTGCCTTTTTCATGTACTTGATCAGATTTTTCTAGCCCCGGTACAGATATATTGTATAAGCAGCTGTTAAGATCCAAATAAGCCAACAGTGTAATGCTGCATGACTGCACTATAAAGTGTTTTAATGTCCAAGAATCTGGAAGTATGCGGTTAGCATGATAGTTGCTGTTAGCTTTACTATAACGGCAAAACTCTGCTCTGGTATCGGAAAGTCATTTTTTAGGTTAATAACTAGCATGCTCTGAATTTTATGGTAAGAGGAATAATTTTACATCACTGCAATCCATTTAAAATTTAAATAAATAAACTAACTAGTTCTGTTTTTCACATTTTGAAGACAGTAAAAATCTGGGAGAGCACCTTTAAATAAGGCCCAAGCCAGAAGGCAACTAGGGTTCTTGGAGTGAAGTCATTTACCTGCTGACATTTCCTAACTGTAACAGGTTGTATTTTTAGCACTTATTGACTCCAGTGTGAATGATGATTGATGTGGAGCTGCTTCCAAATCTATTTCCAGTCCTCTGTGGCTATTTGGTGGCAGTGGAGAGAGCCATATTAGGGGAAGTCATCATTTTCTGTCTTGACTCATGGTGATTTGTGGTAGTAGTAGAACCTCACTGCTCACTCAACTTAAGTGAGAGCTGAACGACAATGTGACAAAAAGGTAAATAAATGTAGTGGATGAGGTAACCCAGAGTTTGACCTTTGACCCTGGATTGGTCATGGTGTGTTTCACAGTGCTGAAGTGGACATTTGAACATTATAGTTACAGTCGCTATCAATGTGGTTGTATTAACGGTTAAAAAAAATAAAAAATAAAAAAATGAGAACATAGATTTGAATGAATTTTGACGAGAAAATTTTTGAGAGTCAGATGACTGGATCAGAGCCTTAGAGCTATTGTTTT